GGAGGGAGGGAGGGAGGGAGGGAGGGAGAGAGAGGGGGGTGTCAGAAATTTACTTACTGAGGAACAATTTGATTTCTGTTGTTAAATTTAATATTCCATCAACCAAAATGCTATTACATCTAACATATACAGTTTTTTAAAAAAAAGTACACATCAGTTACACTGAGATAACATCATCCTGCAGGAGAATGATGCCTAACTGAGCAACAAGGGTTTAATTGGGGCAGTCAGACTCTGATTGCAGGTGTGCAGAAGGGAGTCCGCTAATCTGTTTTAGCAGGGTGCTCAACAAATCTCTCAAAGTAGCTATACGTTATCAGATGTAAATGCAGATATTCAAGTAATAACCTTTTAATGGCTCACCTTCCAATGTTTTAATACCTTCGTCTACTAGTTTCCTGGCGGCAGCAGGACTGCAAAGAAAAAGATAACTCATGAACAGCTGGACAGAATTCCCACGGCACAATCTCAGTAGAGCTCAAATTAACACCACATCTGAGTAAGAAAACTGACAGATTACTTAACCAAAATGGTAGAAATTAATTCAGAAAGGTAAGATAGTGGCAAATCAAAATCTTTGGGAGGCGAAGAAAACTAAAGCTATTCAGAGCTGAGGAAATACCAAACAATGACAGAAAAAAATTACAGTATTTATTTTATTTAGTGAATGGCAGGGGCCCCCAACCTGTGGGATGTGGCACATTACTGGGCCATTAGCAACTAGGCTGCTTGAGTGGCATGCCAGTGCACCGGTACTCTCCGTTCCCCTCGCCCCGCAGCTTCATACAAATGCTTGCCTGCCCCTCACACAAAACCATCCCCCTCTTCCTCTCCCTCCCAGTGCTGGGCCACCAACCCAGAAAGGTTGGGGAACACTGGCCTACAGCATCTACAGAGATCGCGCAAAGAGAAGATGTAAGCAGGCTTTGCTAATATATACAGAGTAAAATTACTTTTATTACTATCATTTTCTTCAGGAACCTAAATCCTATTTTTTAGATTTAGAATTATTTACTTTTTCCAAACACACCTTCTGGCAGTTTAAGATTAAATATGCCCATCAATTTACCCAATGCCACTAACTCTGGTCAGTAAATTGATAGAAGAGCTTGTGTCATCTTGTCGAATCTAGAGGAAGGAAAATATGATAAAGCCACTACTTTGAAGCGCGCACACACACACACACACACACACACACACACACACACACACACACGGGAAGACTCATAGCATAGCTGGGCTGAAACATTATCTCAAGGATATATGAGAGC